GCAGCATGGTCCAGTTAGCAGCGTGGTACTGTTAGCAACATGGTACAGTTAGCAGCATGGTCCAGTTAGCAGCGTGGTACTGTTAGCAACATGATACAGTTAGCAGCATGGTCCAGTTAGCAGCATGGTCCAGTTAGCAACATGCTACTGTTAGCAGCATCCTACTGTTAGCAGCATCCTACTGTTAGCAGCATGGTCCTGTTAGCAGCATGGTCCTGTTAGCAGCATGGTAGGCACAAAAACAATTAAAACAAAAACAACAGTTACAAAAAAGATCGAGTTCTCCAGGAGCCTGTGAAGATGGGATTCGGCTGAGCGCGGCCATCTTGGCACTGGATTGCCTCTGATCTGTGAAATAATTAGAGATAATAATAAGAAAATAACCTTTCTTTCCTCTCATCCTGTAATGGCCTCAGCAGGACAATAAAAGAAGTTAAAGTTAAAACAGATATATTCAGAACAACTAAATCTCAGCGTTCTCACCTTATCCCAGAGCCCAAACTTCAGCTGATTAATCATCAAAAATTAAACGTTTATTCATAAAGAGGTGAACTGGTGGTGGACGTGAACTGGAGCGTCAGGCGTTCTGGTTTCAGCTGCTCGAGTCCAAACTGCTCACTTTAATGCAAGAACACGACCGATAATTTAAATTAATAAGAAAAGGTAGAGCTTTATTAATGCCACATATTAATGTAAAGAGTGTGAGTCAGCAGATTTGACAGGAAGCTGTCGTCTGAGGAGCACGTCTGGTAATTACTCCTCTTCACGAAGGCTGAAAATGTTTCCACCTCAGCCGATAATGGTCTGCGCTGAACGTTTCCTCCTGTTTGATATTCACAGAGCCGAGCTCAGAAACAGAGCGGGCCGTTTTACTATTCCATTTTCAGATTTCTCCTCCGACAGCAGACAAATATGAGACTTTTACTTCCACGGAGAAAGAAACAGACCCAACAGTGACATTTTAGCATGAATAAAGATTTACAGCACACAGTACACAGAATTAATGTTTATTTAGCTCACAACAAACCAGAAAACAGAAAGTGAGTGGAAAACCACAGCAGTGCTAAAGTCTAAAATACATCCTGCTCTTATAGTCTAAGCTGTGAAAAGACTGGCTCTTACTTTGATGAGCAGCATCCATCCAGACGTGGATGCAGACATGTTCCTGTTTTTAGTTTTCTACATTCACCTTACAATCCAGCTGTTTTTGTTACTCTTTTTGCATCTTATTTGTAATTTAAAAAAATAAATCTGTATGCCTTTTTATAATTATCTATTGTTGTCCACTGTTGTCATCACGCTTTGTTAAAATCAGGTCTCTCTTGTAAACGAGTCCTCGAGGCTCAATGGGATTAACCTGTCTAAATAAAGGTTGAATTCATCCATCCATCCATCCATCCATCCATCCATCCATCCATCCATGAATGGATTTTTTTTTAGCTTTAAAATACAAAATTCGGTAGAAATCGTATATTCATTTAAAGTTGTAATCAGGGCAAAACTGATGGAAAAATATAACAAAAAAACAACCTGTTGAGTAACTCAGGACCTGCCGAGTCAGTTGTTGCCACGGTGATTCCCGCCTTTTCTGGGGAGCAGAGGGTGGAGAGGTTGGACTCAGCTGCACTCTGGAAAAGACAACGAGAAACAAAAACAGAGACTCGAACGGTTTCTGTGAAAACGAGATTTGACAGGATTGTCTTTGCGTATTGTCGGCGTCATTATGTGCTCGTGCACAAGATTTTTTTTCATTATCATGTTGACCTTCAAACGGAGGTAAAAGCGTGTTGGGATTTTTTTTTGTCTCCAAACCCTTTGTGTCATTTTCACCACAGGTCTCACTTGTAAACGAGTGTTCGAGGCTCATTGTGACTTATCTGTTTAAATAAAGGTTGAATGAATAAATCTGCGTCATGACCCGTCCGGTTCTGATGGACGGACCTCTGATGTGAGTGTAACCTGCTACACATGGACACTCTGTCTCTGCAGGTTCTGTTTGACCTGCAGGCCCGTCACAGCTGGAACTACCGGTCCACTTCATCAGAACACACACACACCGTCCTCTCAGTGCACGTGTGTGTGTGTGTCTCCTGCTGTGTGACTCGGAGGATTGTAGTTTGATTCTCTGAGAAACTACCGGCTGCAGCTGATCACTGCTGCCTCTCCGGTAATTACCGGGACTGAAACTGTAGTTTCATCGTTTTATGTGGGTGCGGTTCATCAGGACCGTCACCCTCAGCCTGCAAATAAACAGCCTGTAAATAAACAGCCTGTCAGTCAGTCACTCAGACTGTTGTTTCCATGGAGAGACGTTTGATGGACATGGAGCTGCTGCAGCAGAGGACATCATGTCTCGAGAGACAACCTGAGACTCCAGCACCTTCTTCTTTCTTCTCTGAAGCCCAACAGGACTTCTGCAATAATCTGACAGAGAACACTCTTACTTTGAAGAGTATCTTTGAGTTTTACTTTGAAACTCCAGGCTCAGTCCTCTTCCTGTTTCCTGCCGACCCTCTGACTGAATCGTCCTGAACATCAGAGACATGAAGGATCTGAGGGGGCGGCCATGATGGAGACAGAGGAGGAAGAAAAGCATGCTGGGTAATATAGAAGACTCAGAGTCTGCTGAGTCACTGGTTGTCATGGTGACGAGGAGCAGCACCCACAGGCACTACAGACAGAAACGCAGAGTAAAAAGTAAGCCTCAGACAAACCGTCTCTGTGAGAACTGGAAGAACTTCTTGACCTGTGAGCAGCAGGAGATTCTGATGGTGCCACAGGCTCTGTTTGGGTGTGTGACCTCTGACCTCTGAGAGGAACCATCAGTCCAGGAGACACTCTGGGGGGACGGAGACAGAAAGACTGAAGACAGGAAGAGACAATGGATTTTATAAACAAGCGTTTTTGATAAATGTAAAGTTGTGTTCTACATAAAGCTGTGACGTCATCTGTGACATCATCATTCTTTATGTTAAACATTTAGTGGTAAAAATTGTTAAAAGTTGTTCTTGTAAAAAAAGTTAAATATAATAAAACGTCTGTTCTCATTTGAAGAATCTCGTCTTTTCCTGTCGGGACCTTTTTCAGTTTTTCCTTTCGTCTCAATGTTCTGCTCACAATTCCTGATTGAGACGCACGACTTGATCTGAACAAAAGTAATAAATAAATAAATAAATTTTTTAAAATGAACAACAGAGCTGGACCCGGTCTGACCCGGTCTGACCTTGTCTGACCCGCTCCATCTGTATCTTTCAGAGTTTACCAGAGCAGCAGATTGATTGATTGATTGGTCGTTCAGAGGCCATGGCGACCCGACTCCTCCTCTTCCTGTTGGTCTCCGTGACGCTTAGCCACGCCCAGTTTCACTCCGGACAGTGGCTGAAGCCCCGCCCACAGAGAGACCGCCGCAACATCCGTCCAAACATCATCCTGGTTCTGACCGACGACCAGGACCTGGAGCTTGGTGACTGAACCAACTTTAATACGTTTCACTGTCAGAATCAGAGCGTTGTTGTTGTTTGTTTGTTGATGTTTTAATGACGTTGTTGTTACCGTTCGGGATGTGCGAGGTTCTCGACGCTCCGTCCAACAGAATCTGCCCGGCTCTCCTCAGGTTCCATGCAGGCCATGAACAAGACTCGCCGCATCATGGAGGAAGGCGGGACTTTTTTCTCCAACGCCTTTGTGACCACGCCCATGTGCTGTCCGTCACGTTCGAGCATGCTCACTGGGAAGTAAGTCTGGGCAGACACGAAGAACTGGACGCCTGAGCCACGAACCATATTCCACAAATGCAGAAAGTGGAAAACGACGTCTTAATATTTAAGAAATTTGACGTAATACACACGATTTGACCCGTTCTGTCGTTTTGGTCTTGGTGCAAAGTGGAACAGGAAGTACCATACCATACCATACCAACTTTATTTATAGAGCACTTTATGCACCCAACAGGACCAAAGTGCTTTACACAATTATATAATACAATACAATGATAAAATGGAAGGGTAAAATTTAAAACAGGAATAAAATAATAAAATAAAATACAAACACAATAAAACAAGGTAACAGTGACATCAAACTCTTTAAAAGGGAACTTCCTGGTATTTGTTTATTGAAACAAAATTACTGTTTATGTTGGTAACCGTTGTAGCAACGCTCTGTGCACATGCAGGCGTTTCCTTTTGACGTCACTTCCTGTTACTGACATCACTTCCTTTCTGAGCATGAGAATATCCTCATTATTTTTGCAGTACATTATTAATATTGTTTTTTTTATTAATTCATATTTGTTACAGTGTGACATCATAGACACTTTAATGCGAACAACAGAACATCCAGTTCCAGTATGAGCTTTAAGCCCCGCCCCCTCCGTCTAAACAAATGGAACATTTTCCAGAGTAAAGATTTGTTTCACTGAATGGCAAATGGTAGTCCCTCCTCTGGGTTCTCTAAATGGTACCGGCTTTCTTCCCGCAGGTACGTGCACAACCACAACACCTACACCAACAATGAGAACTGCTCCTCGTTGTCGTGGCAACGGCACCACGAGCCGCGCACCTTCAGCGTCTACCTCAACAACACGGGATACAGGACAGGTGCGGTCCTGAGCAGTTCCGTTAGGGAACGTTCCTGCGGCGGTTCTCGAGTCTGACTCCTGGTTCTGGTTCTGTCCACAGCCTTCTTCGGGAAGTACCTGAACGAGTACAACGGGTCGTACGTGCCGGCCGGCTGGAGGGAGTGGCTGGGCCTGGTGAAGAACAGCCGCTTCTACAACTACACGCTGAGCCGCAACGGCGTCCGCGAGAAGCACGGCGCGCAGTACCCGCAGGTCAGGGCGCCACGACCCGCTGCGAGGGTCAGGAGGCGGAACCGGCAGGTCCAAACAGAACCGGCCCTTCTAGAGCTCCCCCGCCGTCCATCTCCTGAGGTCCCTCACAAAACCCAGACCGAGTGGGAACATGGTCCAAACTAGTTCCACGCACTGACGTGTTAAGTTTAAAGACAGCTTTAATTCAGGACCAGGGGCCCGTGGTTCTGGTTCTGAATTGCTTTGTTTATGATTAGAAATGGACCCGTGAGTTTAAAATCTGAATCCATCGGGTTTGGGATTAGGATTAGAAGGTTCGGTGTTTCTGGTCAGATTTCAGATGAGATTCATTTCAAGATGAAATTTACAACTTTGTGGTTGAAACTGGACCTGAATGGTTCGGGTCGAGGCCGACCTCTGGTTCTGGTGGAGCGGGTTCAGCTTGAGACAGAACTAAAGTCATATCAGAGGACTTCAGAGTTCTTATCTGGTTTGGTCTTATTTTAGGGTTCTGTAGTATTGGACCTTTGGGTGGTTCTGCCGGTATGACGATGGTTCTGGTCGTCTCATGTTTCGTGTCGTGGTTTCATCCCGTCATGTGTGTCACGTGTGTCACGTGTGTGTGTCTCCAGGACTACTTGACAGACCTGATCACAGCTGAGTCCGTCCACTACTTCCGCTCTTCAAAGATGGTTTACCCTCACCGGCCGATTCTGATGGTTCTGAGCCACGCGGCGCCGCACGGGCCCGAAGACTCGGCGCCACAGTACAGCACGGCCTTCCCCAACGCATCGCAGCACATGTAGGCCTCACACACACACACACACACACACACACACAGAGCAGGGGTAATCCATCTGAACAATGGAGCGGTTCTGAAACAGAAACAGAATCGGGCTTCGACCTTTGACCCGAGGGAACTCCTGGAAACACTTTAAACCCGTTTAAATCTCAGCAGTTCGGGTCATGGAGGTTCTGATTCTTTGTGCAGCACAAAAATATGCTGGAATAACAAACGGTGAGCTAAAATCAGCTAAAACAGCTAAAATCAACTAAACAGCTGCTGGATCAAGATTTCAGACATTTCTTCTTCTTTCATCATATCCACCTTATTCCTCGCTCCCATGCTGCCTTGCATGAATTATGGGTGTGACTTCCAGCATGGGCCAGAACCAGAATTTTTTGAACAGTACAAGCGAATGTAGTTTCTCTGAGCATCGTGGATTTAATTTAAACATGTAGTAACACCAGCTGTCAGAGCTCAGACAGGACAATATGATCAGACCTCTGCTGCTGAGGATGAGGGACGGAGGACGAGCTGAAGAAGTGGCTGCAGATTACATCTACTAGCATATTTAGCTACATCTACTAGCATATTTAGCTATTTATACTAGCATATGTAGCTTCTTATACTAGCATATTTAGCTACATCTACTAGCATATTTAGCTACATCTACTAGCATATTTAGCTACATCTACTAGCATATTTAGCTACATCTACTAGCACATTTAGCTATTTATACTAGCATATGTAGCTTCTTATACTAGCATATTTAGCTACATCTACTAGCATATTTAGCTGCTTATACTAGCATATTTAGCTACTTATACTAGGATATATAGCTTCTTATACTAGCATATTTAGCTACTCTACTAGCACATTTAGCTACTTATACTAGCATATTTAGCTACATCTACTAGCACATTTAGCTACTTATACTAGCATATTTAGCTACATCTACTAGCACATTTAGCTAC